CGAGGGAGGAGGGAGAACCGCGACGACGCGAACGACGACGAAGGAGGAAGGACGGCGACGCCGACAACGACAACGACGAGGGAGGAGGGATGACGACGACGACAACGACGACGACGACGGCGACCAAATAGGAGGGACGACGACGAGACGCCGACGACGGACGACGACGACGACGTGGGAGGAGGAACGACGACCTTGGCGACAACGACGACGGAAACGACCACGACGCCAAAGAGGACGACGACGAAAAACATTAGAAAAGACAGAGGACGACGTAGGCGACGACGGCGACGACGACGCTGGAGGAGGGAGGACGGCGACGACGACGACGACAACGACGACGACGACGCAAGAGCGTGCGCGCACGCTTGTTGAAAATCCGTGTTGCGAAACCTTGGGTTTTTGTAGGTTTTTTGGACGCACGATTTTGAAATCCTTCCGAAAACGATGGGTTTTGAAGGTTTTCGGCATACGCCCGCGACGACGCGCGCGTCTGCACTTCGTCCCGTTTTTTGCAAAGGATTCTCGCGACGGCACACGCGCAAGGGCGTTCGACAGACTTCGACATGCGCGCGCGCGAAACCCATTTGGTAGAATTTCGTGGAAATCTTGAATCACCTATGGTTTCCTCAGCAAATCAGTGTTGCGAAACCATGTGTTTTTGAATGTTTTTTGGGAACTCGATTGCGAAATACTTCCGGTACCGAAGGTTTGTGAAGGATTTCGGCATGCGCGCGCGACGACGCGCGCGTGCGCACCTCTTCCGTTTTTTGCAAGGGATTCGCGAAACAATGTTTTGTTAGAACAAAAAATGTCACCGCATAGTGTTTTTTTTACCAGGGAACCTCAGGGGGGGGAACCCGGCCTGCCTGGGATGGTATGATTTCATATTTAGGATGGACGAGTGTGCAGAAAATAAATGAAATCATACTATCGCAGGGGGAAGCGATAAGTCCGGGGGGGGGAGAGTTTATTCTCTTTTTAGATGGAGAATCCACGCGGCGCAATGCATGCTGTGCGCTCGATGCGACGCAATGGATGTCGGGCAGTCCACGCGGCGCAAGTTGCACGTTCAATTTCTGATGCGACAGCATTCGGTGCAACCTGCGCGGCGCAATCCGCCCTGCCGAACTTTCAAAAGGCAGCTACACTGCTCGCGCCTCCCGCCCGCACACTCGAAACTTGGTTTGCATCACCCATGCGACGACGATGGCGATGCGTGCTTGGCGTTGGCTGGTGCATCTCCACGGCTGCGCTAGCCCGCGCATGCTCGCGCGCGCAACGACCAGCTAGCGCGGCGCGACCGACGCGGCCGCGCCAACGCCGCACGCCGGGCACTTCCTGCGGGCCCACCCGCCATGCCTAACTCCATCAGGGGCTCCACATAAAGGGCACCAGCCATCGCAACAGTAGCCTGCAGCTCGTGCCCTGGCGCGCGTCCACACGCCTCCACGAAAGGCCGTCGCGGCCAGATACTTCTCTCGAGGACCCAGCTATCTGGAGCCAGGACCTAAGAGCCGAACCAGCGGCTCCGTGCACGCCCACCTCCCATCAAAGGACGGACTGAGCCCCGCGAAAACTCTTTCATGATGCCTCTGGGCACGTAACTGCACGAGCTGGGCCACAAGCGCATGGGAGTTATATCCGAGGTGAACCAGGTGAGGGCCGAAGGGCTTTGCCAACTAATCCGATTCAAGGAAAGGTGCATTCTCTGGATGGGCCCCCGAGGGCCGAGGAGGAGGGGAAGGAGGAGGAGGGGGAGGAGGAGGAGGAGGAGGAGGAGGAGGAGGAGTGAAAAGGTGGCGGTGGGGGCGGGGGGCGGGGGGGAAGGGGGTAGAACGAGGAGAGAGGGGACGGTGGAGCAGGGGAACGGCGGAGCGAGTATGAGTGTTGTAATGCTTGCCAGTTGTGGTGTGGTGTGCAGTTCCTGTGTGCTTTGTGCGTGTGGTAATCCTGTGTGTTTGGTTTCGTTGCTTGTGGTGTGTGTGTGTGTGTGAAGGTGTGCGAAGGTGTGTGTGTGTGTGAATGTGTGTGCGTGCGTGCGTGTGCGTGTGTGTGTGTGTGTGTGTTTGTGTGTGTGTGTGTGTTTGTGCGCCTGTGTGTTTGTGTGGTTGCGTGCTTCTGTTTGCGTGTGTCCCTTATTTTTTGTTTTGGGGTCCCACCGCCCATATACACCATCGATGAGCAATTCCTCCACAAACCGAGTCTATGTGCAGCGCCCTCGCGTAAGATATGAATGTGTACGTCCTTCGCAGGAGTGCAGGGAAGATGGTGCGAATTTGCAGGAAGAGAAGGATTAGGGAGAGAGGGGAGGATGAGGACAATGGGGGAGTGACTCCTCAACCTCCTCCTCTTCTTGCTCCTCGGCCTCCACTGGCACTCCTTTAGGGTAATTGAAGAGGCGAGAGAGGATACGAGGAAAGAGGAGGATGGGGACGAATGAAGATGCGGACGGGGAGTATACGAAGGAAAAGGAAGATAAGGACGAGGAAGATGAGGCAGACCCTTGATGGCGATGTGGAGGAATGAAAATGAGGTGGAGACGAAGGAAGACGAGGAGGATGAGGAGGAGGAGCAAGAGACGAAACAAGGGTGTGAGAGAGAGATAACACAAAAAAGCAAACAAGGAGACAACGAGAGAGACAGAGAAGGAGAGAGAAGGAAGGAAAAGAAAGAGAGAGAGAGAGAGACAGAGACAAACAAACATGAGGGAGAAAGAGCGAGAGGGAGAGAGAGAGAAAGAGAGAGAGAGAGAGCCACATACGGGAGACGCATAGCGTTGCCATGGTAAATGCGCAACGACGGGGGGAACTTATGCCCCGCAACCCCCATTCAAACACCCTTCCGAACTTCTCGTCCCCTTCTCCTCCCCCTCCTCGTCCGCGTCCTCATCCTTCTCGTTCTCTTCCTCCTGCTCCTCCTCGTCCTCCTCCTCCTCCTTCTCGTCCTCCTCCTCCTCCTCCTCCTCCTCTTCCACGTCCTCCTCCTCCTCCTCCTCCTTCTCCAGTTCCTCCTTCTCCTCCTTCTTGTCCCCCTCCTCCTCCTCCTCCTCCTCCTCCTCCTCAGCCTCCTCCTCCTCCTCCTTCTCCTCCTCCTCCTCCTCCTCCTCGTCCTCGTCCTCGTCCTCCTCCTCCGCCTCGTCCTCGTCCTCCTCCACCTCCTCCTCCTCCTTCCACGTCCTCCTCCTTCCACGTCCTCCTCCTCCACCTCCTCGGGGGCGGCCTGGCGGGCAGGGCGCAGGCCTCTCCTGGCCGAGTTCGCACGCGCTCTCCCCCCCACAAAAAAAGCCCGAGGCCGAGGAGGGCGGGGACCTGGAGAGGGGCAGTAGACGAGCGCGTTCCACTACCCGCAAAGTGACTACTCGCAAATGGCCTGGGTCCCCAAAGGAGGATCTACGATACATCACGTCCAAGCAGACATGTGTGTGTGTTTCGGACGTTTGCGAGTAGGCACTTCGCGAGCAGTGGAACGCGCACGGTGAGGCAGGGGCAGGAGACGAAATGTGTGGAGAAGATACTCGGGGAACGAACAATGACATAAACACAGTACCTCGGAGGTCCGCGCGGATCTCTCGGATCCGCGTTGGGGCCCCCTGGCGCGCTCCGTGCGCCAGGGAGGGGGGTCCAGCGCGGATCCAAGAAATCAGCGCGGACCTCCCGAGTTTTCATGTTTATGCCATTATTAGGGGGAAAACAAACCTACCTCGCTTTTGACCACCCTCGCTTCCAAGAGATACCAAACGATGCCAAATTGAAGCCTGTACTGGTCAGGCCGCTTGACGAGGAGGCGCATGGTATGGCTTGGTTTTGCCTGGAAGCGAAAGCGGGGTAGGTAATTCACGCTCTGACATTATTCGTTCCCTTAGATACGTGTCGGCGGCGAGCGAGGGGGGGGAACTTCGAGGTTCGGACTTCGAGGCTCGAGGCGGCTCCTCACGATGTTCGGCCCCTGGGGGCCGGTTTCGGGCCCCAGGGCCCACGAAACTCGATCCAGGGTGAGAGGCTGGGTCGGATGGACCCTGGGAGGGGTCCAGGGACTCGTTTCGACCGATGTTCGGCGGCCCGCCCAGGAGGGAAGGGAGACGGAAAAGGACTTCTCAGAGGGCGGCGGGACTTCTCGGAAGCCCTGACGACTTTTTTTTTTTTTTTTACCCATCGGGGCTCTGGAGGCTCCAGGGGGTCCCAGTGGAAGGCGGTCGACACCTTGGTCGAGCAGTCCGAAACCCTGACGACTTATGGGGGGTGCTCTGCGTCTTCGGGGAAGGCCGAGGACACTTCTCTCAGAAAGCCGGGGGGCGTCCGAGACTTCTGAGAGGGTCCGCGTCTCCTCGCCTCGCCCCCTCGCTCGCCGCCGAGTGAAGCTCGTCGAGAAGGCACGCGGGGTACAGTAGCCGCTCGACCACAAGAAGCCTTCCACAAGAAACCCAACCCTGAGACCCTAGGACGTCTACTGGCAGAATTGACTGCACAGGACACGCGACAGGACACGCGACCATTCCGACGGCAACACGGCCTCCAACAAGGGTGCCTGCAACATGGCCTCCAGCATGGCCCCTCTTCCCAGGACTGCAGAGGACACGACGTGCGATGCATAGGACACAAGAGTACCCTTGATTTGGCAGGGTCGGCCTACTAATCGCGGCCGACTGGATTGATGTTTGGTGCTGGAACGCCACGCTCTCCCCTCGCAAAAGCATCGAAGCCCAGGAAAACAACAGGGTGCAAGCAGGGAGCTTCTTGGCACGGGTCTCCACTGTAAGCATGGGGGATTAAGCTGGGGGGGAGCCCCTCCTCCTCTTCCTCCTCCTTCTCCTGCTCCTCCTTCCCTGAGCCAGACTAAGCAGGATGACACCAGATTTGGTCAGTTTTCGGCCAGGGATTGCCGGATCAGGATTGCAACCTCCCAGGAAGTGCATCCTAGGGGATGCGGTTGCTTTTCACTGCCCCGGCCGTGTAGGAACGCCGGCAGCCCTTCACGCGCGTTGAGCTCATAGGCCAGAGGGAACAGTACGACATCAAGCAATGCCAACTGCCTTGCCCAGACCGTGCCGAATCCAGGCGTTCCCGTGAGCCACGGCACCGAGGATGACGAGCAGCACGAGGGGAGGAGCACGATGCCAGGACGGGGAGCGGCAGGCAGAGGGTCAGGAGCATACCTACGACGAGGGCAACCACAACACTGGACACGATGGTTTTGATGAGCAGCATGACGATGATCTGCGATTCTGAGAAAGGCGACGACCCGCAACGATGTGATGATGATGATGAAGAAGATGGCGACTATGATAACGATGATGGGGATTATAATGATGATGCTGCTGCTGCTGCTGATGATGACAATGATGCTGTTGACGATGATGATGACGATGGGGATGATGCTGCTGCAGCTTGCGATGATGATGGTGATGATGATGATGGTGGTGGTGGTGGTGGTGGTGATGCTGGTGATGGGCATCCGCGGGAGGACGATGGGGAGAACAGTGAGAGGCACGACGGCCATGATGATGGCCGGATGACGACGATGATGACGAGCATGCGCATGCGGAGCTGGGCCACAACAAAACAGAGCGGGTTGGGACGGACGCCTGCTCGGGCTGGAAGGGGGAGCGCGCGCAAGCAGCCCGGGCTCCCGAACAACTCGCCCGCTCGCACCGCGTGCGTTCGGCGGCGGTGCAGAGGCTCAGCAGGCCTAAAGTGCCTCAAGGCTGGCAGAATCCCGACACAAGACGAACAGCACATGGACGAACGGCGCGCCCGAACAGCGCAGAAGACCGCATTCGGCCCTGCCTTCCTTCGCCCACGCACAGAAGGAACGTCGCCCGCGGGCACGGGCGATGCGGACAAGGACAGCAGAACGATTTTGTGCAAGGACACGGAACACGAGCCCAGCCTGGCTCGCGATGGCCTGTCAGCCGCTGCACGATCCTCCCGAGCTGTCACGGACAGTGGTCACGCGCGTGAGGAAGGGCGCCAGCATGCCGATCGCGTCGGCGCCGGAACTGCAGCGGCGGGAAAGATGCCCCGCGCCTGCGCCGCTGAGAATGCCAAGCTGCGCAAAGGGGCAGGTCACAGGCACAGACCGCATGCGCAGCGAGCTGCGATGTGGTGGCACCGTCGGCGGGCGGCCGGCGATGGGCCGCAGCAGGCAGCGCGATGCCCCCTCCCCGCCGTGGCGAAGAAGGCCTCCGATGAGGCTTTTCTGTCCCCTGAGATCTGGTCACCCTTGGTGGCGCCCGGCCTTGGTGTGCGTGGGGGAATGGGCAGCGCGGTGACGGCCACCGCCGTGCCCCTCCCCTGCCCGACGACCTCCCGAAACGCGCGCCGAAAACTCGAGGCTTCCTGGATGGGGTCCGAGCAAACGGGGTCGCAGGATCGCGCCGCATCGCCAATGCATCGCCGATGCATCGACGTTGTGAAGGCGACGTCGGCGGTGCTTCGGCGACGCCGGCGTGGAGAAAATCGGGCTCCACATCGAGCCGCATCGGCGATGCGCATCGGCGATGCGTCGCGATCCTCCGACCCCATCTACTCCAGCCCCCTCTGGGAGGCCTAGATCCACGTGGCCGCCAGTGCCCACCTCCCGAGCAGCAGGGGGTGCATCCGCCAGCTCCTCGGGACATTTTTTGTTCCAGGGAGCCTGTCCAGCGTAGGCCGCTCGCGCCCGCGCCACCCCCACGCCGCACACGAACGGCGGTCATGTCCATATCCTATCCCTTGCGGTATGGATTCCGGGGCGCGATCACGAGGGCGCGGGGAAGGAAAAAACTCACGGAAAAGGGGCGGAGGGGAATCCAGAGAGCGGAAGTGAAGGGGAAACGAGGGCGAGGACGCAGCTGAGGGCAAGCCAAACCAATCGCACAAACGGCCGAAACCGACGAGTTGATCGGCGAGGGTGGGTTCGGATTTCGCAGCCGATTGTCCTTCGGTCGCACGGATAGTTAGTTCCGCGTGGGGTATGTGCTGAAACACGCCCCGCATCCGCGAGACCGCGGACAAGGGATGCGGCCCGCGCGGCCGTGGATACGGATGTTCTGCGCCCGCGATTTCCGTGGTCACGCTTGTCATCTAGGTCGAAAGTACAGTTGGCTCGCATCATAAGGATTGCGCGACAAGGGTGCAACGGCGATGGGAACCCATTTCGACGCTTTTCGAGCGGGGCGCGACCAACAAAACCGGCCAAACAGAAGGCAAGGATGCGAGGGTACCCCTGGGAATGTAGCCCATCCTTGCGATGCGGGCTGACTGTAATCGTGTCGGCGGCAGTCGCCTGGCGCGCGGCCGCCTCGGACGACGGGAGCGCAGTCTTGGGGGGGCCGTTGGGCACGGGCCAAATGCGAGCGATGGTCGGTCGAGTTTCCCGTCAGGACGTGGCGGCGGCTTTCCCCCAGGTCCGTCGGCGACCCGCACACAACGTGAAAGGTCGGCGCCAACAGGCCGCAGCCTACGATTGGCGGCGAGCGAGGGGGGGAAATGAAAAGGAGAAAGCCTTCTCAGAAAGCGGCGGGGTTTCTCAGAGAAGTCCCCCGGCCTTCTGAGACGTTTTCTCAGTCTTCGGGGAAAGCACAAACCATTTCTCAGAAGGCGGGGGGACTTCCGAGCCCTCTGAAAAAGGCCTTTTCCTTCTCACTTTCCCCCTTCGCTCGCCGCCGATACGAGGACGAGGTACGTGTTGGGCATGTTCGCCCCGTGCCAACATCGGCGTAAGTCTATGGCACGGCGCGGAGCCTTTCGTTTTGAGCGCTGGCAGCTTCCCGATAGCGCTTACATTTTGCCATCGGCCCATCCAAAGCTATCGGCGCGTTCGCGCCGAACGCCTGCGCTGGGGTCGCCGCCGGGCCGACGCGGCGCAAATCTGCCGCGCGATCCTAGATCCAATGCCAGAGTGATGCTCGATGTGCCTGTCTAGAATGCGCATCCGCGCGGCCCCCTGCTCAGGGCCCGCCCGCGGCCTGTCCAGCACGCAACCGAAACGAATGTGATGACACAGCGCCGATCGCGAGGCCGATCTGGCGCGAACCCAAAAAGGACGGAGCAAGAAACACCGCCGCATGTTTAGAAGAAAACACGTAAACACAAACTTTGGAGATCCGCGCGGACTTCTTGGATCCGTTATGTTTATGTGCTTTTCTTCTTCGAATGCTGGCAATGATGGAAGAAAGCGTCTGAATGGGACTGACAGAACCTCTGTGCAGGACAGTAGCCACCAACTCCTCCTGTTGCCCTTGCCGGCGCCCAAGGCTGCGACGCAGATTCAGCCGCCCAGCGGCCGCCGACACGTCCTCGCAGCGGCCGCGGGAAAGGAACCCAAACATCCAACGTCTCGGTTTTTTCGAGACACGGGCC